ATCATTTTTATTATTATTATTAGTTTTTGTTGATATTATTGTCACTGTGATCTCTGTTTGTTGGTCAGGCCATCACACTGCTGACCCTGGGCCTGTACCCCAACGTGTGCTACCACAAGGAGAAGCGCAAGGTCCTCACGCAGGAGTCCAAGGCCGCCCTGGTGCACAAGTCCTCCGTCAACTGTAGCAACTTCGCCATCAACTTCCCTCACCCGTTCTTCATCTTTGGCGAGAAGGTGAGTTTGTTATGTTATGTACCACACCCCACCAGGGCTGTGCTACTAAGTGAAGTTGTCGTGTTATGTCAAGAAGTTGTCATCTCCATTATTAACATGAACATGTTCTTATGCACAGTAGAATAGTAAATGGACTGATTTATCAATGCCATGCTACTTTTTCTTTCCTCATCCTTTCTGTCATCATTTTCCTCTACTTCTTTTGTGTGTTTGTCACTCTCTTGTGAACTGCTATTTCCGGGGTGCCTTGTTAGTCGAAGCAGATTTTGTGGAATTGAGGTTTGAGAGGTGAGCAGATTATTCCTGATTCCCGTAAGGACTTCTCTGTTGACATCCACCCCTTGGCGCTCGTATGACCTTATTCGGTTGCGACTGCCGTAAAACCTTACTAAAACTAAAGCGCATTTATATAGCTCATATCCATGCTCTAGAGTCTAGAGCATGCTCCATGCACTTTACAACTCTTATTACCCCAGCAGACCCTTTGAGAAAACTCAGAAACATTCTCGGCTTCCGCGGAAGCATACAGTTTAATAGTGTCGTACACATAGATGCCCTATTAGTTCTGTTGGATCATGCTGGACTTGAGGGTGGATGGCCCTGGTTTGAATCCCAGCTTGGGTGTTCTTGAACTTGGCTTGGTTTTTGTGGAGTTTTTAAGGCTTTAAACCCATTTGGGTTGGTCCTGTGGACTAGAGACGGGAGGTTAAACTCTGAGATCCTGCCTTTCAGATAACCTGAAAGTGTTGGTAAGGGAGTTAAACCCATAACATCTGTGGTGTAGAGGTTAGATGCTTTGCCATCGCATTCAAAAGACATGAGTTCAATTCCTCTTTTTTCAGGGGGAGGATTTTTATGGAGTATCTCCGTTCAAGCCCAATACTGCCGTCTTAGGAAAAAAGTACGAATATCGGAAATTGGGTCAAATAGAGATATTGATACCACATGAAAGCATATGAAAAACTGCATCTTTTGAACCAGTGGCCACTACATTTAGAGATGTTCGAATACTTTATTTTGGCATTGGAAGTATCGTAATAATTTTTTCTTTTTAATTTATTTTATATTGTATGAAAGAAAGACGAATCTCTGGTCCTACTGTGAAAAAAGGACGAATACCGAGAGGTTCGTCCTCAGTTTACGAAAAGCGACAAATATACTGATATTCTTCCTTCTTCGCCAATTCATGCCTACGTTACAATGCCACAGGTCTTATGATGAAATACCAAAAGGCTCAAATCCTGGCATATCCGGCGTTGATCCCCGCAGTGTCAAGTGTGTTGCACGCAGTAAGACGACCAGCACCACTGCTTGTGCACACCCACCAAAATTTGAACCCCGGATCTTTGGCTCCACCGGCAAAGCGCAATTAAATAACAGTCTGGAAGCCCTAAAACACTCACATAAAACCAGACGAACCTCAAATATCACAGAAACGAAAAATCCAGGACGTTACTATTTGACAACGTCGGGTGAAAGAAAGACGAATATCGCTATTCGTCCTTTTCCCATAAAAAGCTAATTAAAACTTCATCAATCTGTTATGAAAGAATGACTTTTGTCTTCTCACACAAAATTTTGTTGATATTTCCGAACAAAATTTTAACTACTAGTGCATAATTGCACCATCCTTCCTCCTGCAAAAAGATCAAGTTAAAAATATAATAAAAAATCAACTTTTTAAAAGTGAGACGAATAAATTTGATTTTTTGGCCCTCCTGGAAAATGGGTATGTCGCGATATTCGTCCTTTTTTCCCAAGACGGCAGTGTAAGAGGGTGAAAACACAATTTTTATCAAGCTGCTTTGGTTCCAAAGTCATGGTCATGTAAAGATTGGCTCAAATTGGAAAAATTCAAGTTGTCTTTAAGTTACAAACACTGCTTGAAGAAAATTGGGCCCAATATCTTGAAATAGTAGAGTTCCAACAAGTCACTCTTTTGGCAGCTCCGCTTCACAAAAAATTAAGCTATTACACACGTTGATCCAGTTGGTTGATGAGTTCTCTGGTATGGTCTACTTCTTCTTACCTAGGAAACATCTGTTGTGCGTATGTCTACTCTTTTTCTTTTTCTTATGTTATGCTCGAGTAACAACTCTCATCTTTGGCACTCTTATGACCTATTTAAGAAGCATTGGAGAATATTGTAACAACAGGCAAGTTGTATGGAAAGAGAGGAAGAGGCAGACTGAGGGAAAAGATACTGGACAGGTTGACAACATGGCTGGGAGCAGCAAGAACGACAGACACCATTGCTGCAACGCAAGACAGAGTAAAGTGGAGGTCCATGGTCGCCCACGCCAGTCGGCAAGGCACCAGATGATGATGATGACCTGTTTGTGTTTCAAGTGCTGTTAAACTCTTACTGTGGATGGTTGGCGGGTGCTCTGGTGTGGTTTGCTTCTTCTTCCCTATCAAATTTTTCTATTTTATATTTATTACTCTCTTGTAACACCTCTCATCTTCTGGCGCTCACATGACCTTATGCAGTTGCAAGCGGTGTAAAACCTCTACTAAAACTAAAACTAAAACTCTTACTAATACTAAAACTAACTCTTTTTCTCACCCACCCACCTTTCAGATTCGAACCCGAGCCGTGTCGTGTAAACAGATGACCAACGTGTCGCCGGTGCAGCTTCTGCTGTTCGGAGCCAGCTCTGTCAATCTGCAGGGCGAACGGGTAGTCCTGGACAAGTGGTGAGTTGGGGTTGGGTTTTTTTTAGGGGTTATTTTGTCGCTTTTTTTTTTTCCCCCTTTCCAAGAGTGTTTTAATTTTTGTTGTTGTTATTAGTTTGTTTGTTTTTTGGGAGGGTGGGGTTTTTTTTGTCCCGCACACATGTGAATGGTTGACAGGTGGTTTTTTTTGGTGTTTTTTTTTCAAGAGTGCTTTGATTGTTTTTGTTGTTGGTTTGATTTTGATTTTTTTTCTTTTTTTCAAAGTTCATGTGAAGGGTTTGTTGGTGCTCTTTTGTGATTTGCTACTTTTTTCTCAAATAGGCTCTTGTCTCTCCTTCTTTTCTTCGTATGTTACTTTCCAGCAAAATCTCGAATTTTTTGTCACTGTGTGACGTTTTTGTGTTGCAAATGCTGCATTTAAACAAATGCTGCATAACTGTAACTTAAACTAGAACTTAATTCTCATGCACATTCCTAATCGAGTGAGACACCATGCGGTTAGTAAGTTTCTACTCCTCCTTTCCTCCTTTTTCTAAAATTCCTACTCTCAATTTTTACTCCTACTTTCCTCGTCTTGTGAAAATTCTCACCTCAGTTCCTCCCCCTCCTTTCCTTCTCTTGTTAAAATTCTTACTGCAACTCCCAACTACCACTTTCCTCATTTTGTTAAAATTCTTAAGTTCCTACTTCTCCTTTTTCGTTTTTTGTTTAAATTCTTACTGCAAGTTCGTACCCCTCCTTTTCCTTCTTCTGTTAAAATTCTCACTGCAATTCCTCCTCCTTTCCTCTTTTTTCTCTTTTTTTTTGTGGGGAGGGGGGGGTTAAAATTCATTCTCTCAATTTCTACTTTTACTTTTCTTCTTTTGTTAAAATTCTCACTGCAATTCCTCCTCCTCGTCTCTCCCCCCTGTCCCCCCCTCCTTCAGGATCAACCTGACCACCAACCCGCTCCAGGCGGCCAAGATCGTGGCCCTACGGCCGGCCCTGGAGGCGCTGATCGTGCGGGCCACCAAAGAGCCGGAGCAGGTGGCCACACCCGGCCCCCAGGAGGAGTCTGTCATGGCAGTGGTCAGGACCTTGTCGCGACCAATGGCTGGTCGGCACGGCGTCTCGCAGGACGGGTTAGTTTGTTAGTTGTCCCAGTGATTTGGTGCTTTTTGTGTTTGTCTTTCTCTTTTTTTTGGTTGTTAAAAAATATTTTCTTTGGTTCATTCTCTCTGTGTATCTTTTTTTTGTTTTCTCTCTCTCTCTCTCTCTCTCTCTCTCTCTCTCTCTCTCTCTCTCTCTCTTTCTCTCTCTCTCTCTCCCTCTCTGTCTCTCTGTCTCTCTCTCTCTCTCTGTCTCTCTCTCTCTCTCTTTTTCTCTCTCTCTCCCCTCCCTCCTGCCTTCCCCCATTCCCTCTCTCCTCCCCTCCCCGTCTCCATGTCTCCTCCCCCTCCTATTTTTTTTTCCACTATTGTCACTCGTGTCTCTTGTATTTCCTGTTTGTTCTTTTGCCCATCTCTCATTTTTTTCCTTTTCTTCTTCTCTCTCTCTTTGTTATCTAGGTTTTCATCACATTCCTCATCTTTCATTCTTTGTATTTCTTCATGTTTCTCCATCTTTCGGGCTGGTAGGCAGGGAGGGGGTCACACAGGATGGGTTCATTTCATTGTACTGGTTTTGTCTCTCCTTTCTGTGTTTTTTTTCTTCTTCTCTTTCAGTTTCTTAGTCTCTCTTTTATAATCGAATATCATCTTTATACTTTGTTACTTCTATGTGAGATGATATTTATAACTTTTTTTTCCCCCCTCGTTTTCAGCGGAGACTTCCAGTCTATGCGGAGCCGGCCTCCCCCTAAGATGATGCGCATGGACGGGGGCTATGGAGAGGTAGTGGTGGTGGTGGTGGATTCAGGGGAAGGGGAGGTGGATTCGGTGGTGGTGTTGGAAGGGGTGGATTTGGTAGTGGAGGTTCTGGAGCTGCTGGTGGTGGTGGTGGGTATGGAGGAGGATGGGGTAGTGGGTACCAGGGGAATTCTGGTGGAGGATTTGGCAGAGGTGGCTACTGAGATGGCTCACCGTGGTGTTTCATGGAAATTGTTCTGGGAAGTGGTGTGGAAATTATTCAATGAATTGTTCTGGGAAGTGGTGTGGAAATTATTCAATGAATTGTTCTTTGAGTTGTTTTGGGAAGTGAGGGTGCCGGGGAATTGTTGTGGGAAGTGGTGTGGAAATTATTTTGGAAAGTGATTTGGGGAATTGTTCCTTCAATTGTTCTGGGAAGTGGTTTTCTTGGGAATTGTTCCTGGAATTGGCTGATGAAAGCAATGCCAATTTTCCTGACATCTCAGAAATTACTGTGAAATAGACTAACAACCATAAGACTTTTTAACACTTTTTCTGTTGTTTTAAATTTAAAAAATCACGTCAACATTTTTACATGTGATGACACATTTTATTCTGTTCTTTCTTTTAGCAAGGAAGGATTGCTTTTAAAGCTGAGACCATTTCATAAAGATGACGATGTTTTTAACTGCATTTTTATCTTTTCATGTTGATTTGATCTATATATAGAAATGCGTTGTTTGTAGTTGCAGAGCGTATGTTTGTTTCTTGAAGAGTGTAGTTATGTATGAGTAAATTGTATGTTTTGTTTTAGACAACCGCACAGAATATGTCCTGTGATCATTTTATTCTTTTATGCAAAGTGCCCTTGAAACCAAAAACAAAACCGCTTGTGTCACGACAAGGTTATTTTCGGGCTCTTGTCAGTTTTTGGGCTTGTGGAGTTATTGGTATCATTATAAAAGCATATTCGTTTGTCTTTCTGTTGACGAAAAAACAGAATCCTTCAATCTTGAAAAGAAGTTAAGTAGAAATATTTGCGTATGAGGGAGGTGGGGATCGCATGATGTCAGAGGTCTAAATTAGTGAGAAAAAGACCACCCGAATTTGGTGACTTCCAAGGCTTGAGTGTCTGTGGACGCTGCAGATTTACATTTTTTGGTGCTTTTGATCACAAGTTTTGCATTAAGGGCTGGTGGGGCACCTAGAAAACTTGTTGTGGGGCCAAATTATGCAAATTGGTGTTATTACATATAGTACCTGGACATTTCCTGAACAATATCCAATATATATATGTAAGCCTTGCTACACCCTAAAGCTGTCTTTTTTGTCCAAGTGTTTCTGCGAAAGCACATTATTTCCAGTCGGTTCTTACCTTTATCGGCTGTTTTCTCACAATTCTATTTTTTCACACATTATCCCATTTTTCTGCCCTGTTTCTTGTTCAATTTCAATGTTACTTTCACAGGATGCCAACAACACCTTGTTCTAAATTTTGACCAGTTGAATTTTTGATTAATGGAGTAGTTTTTGATTTATGGGCTTACAAAGCATGAATTTTCCTTCTTTTTTTTAAATACTTTTTTTGCAACAATCCAATTGTAAGTGTCACAGAATAAAAACTAAAGCATATATCAAAAATCTGACAAGCCATATTTAAGAGCTATATAATTACTGTTGGCATGCCAAATAAGAAGTGAATCAGTTAATAAATATATGGGAATAAAATGGGATTGAAAAAGGTATACAAAATCCAATATGGCCGCCGTTTCCATAGCAACCAATTCAAAATATAATATTTGAACTATAGATTTCAAATCCCTAATAGCACACAATGTCCCACAGAAAATGCGGGCCTTGTAATAGCTAAAATAGACCTCAGGTGCCCCACCAGCCCTTAAAGGTGTTTAGCCTATGAGCCAAAAAGAAAGAAAAAAAAGAAAAGAAAAATCAATAAAAACTGCCCAAATGTTAGAAAAATGTTGATTTCTTTGATGTCATCATTGGAGAAGAGTCTGATTTCACCATGATGACTACATACTTATATGCTGTGTTCGTTGAGGCACCAGCTAGTTTCTGTGTTTAGCTGATATATTTGTTTTTGGTAAAATTTGTCTCTCTGCTGAAGGGTACAATTATGTAAGTTCATATTTGAATATTAGACAGACAGAGCAAAAAGGGCAGGTGGATGGAGGATGCCACTTGTGTGTCCTACTTCTGTTTTTTCCCTCTGTTGTTTCTGTCTGTATTTCTTGCTTCCCCCCCCCCCCCCCCCCCCCCCCACCGCTAACGGACGGGTTATTATGTTGTTGTTCTTCTCTTTACTCAAACTCAAACAAACGAGAGCAAAAGTAATGTTGTCTGTTGTGTGACTTTTGATTAAAAGTGTTGCATTTTTTATGTACATCTACTGAATGAACAAAATTCAATTTTATGTTGCTCACAATCTTGGTTAGCTTAATCCTTTTGTGCTCAACTCAGCCAAAAACGGTGAAAAAAAAAAAAAAAAAGATCTAGTGTTTAATGCGGGCAAAACTTGCCACTAAAGAGTGTAGCAGCAGTTTTCAACCCAGCTGAAACTGGCAGGCAGTGAAAATGGATGCTGGACATGAAGCTGTTTGAAAGGGGGGGGGGGCAGAAAGTGGAGATGAAAGCAGACGATAAAACATGATAAGAGACCAGGAAAGGAGGTGAAAGGAGAACATTTTTTTAGAGAAGAACATTTTCCCTTCGCTGTCAGGATTGGAACCCGGGACCTATTTATTGAATGAGAGGTGAACACCATAACATACCTCTTAACCATGAGAACCCCTTTTCATTTCTACTGTTGAAAGTATGTTAGAGCTGCCCTCCACACTCTGCAGTCAGAAATTACTTTTATTCCAAATCATCATGTGCAGAATACTGTAAACAATTGGAGGATGGCTGTTGCTGATGCAGAATATAAGTAGGAAAGGGTTTGGATGAGATTACTTTCCCCATAAAGTATTCTGAATCTGTGCATTCCTGTACTGTACCTATTCTTTGCAATTAAAAGATCTTAGATCGATGCTTAAAATGAAATATAGAATACTGAAAAAAGCAATAGGAGTAAGTCTTCTGCTGTGAGTCTGGTTGAATGAAACGGACATAATGATGCTGATTTAGTTATGTTTGTATTCTGGATTTTGATTAGCATGTTGTTTGTACCCCAAGTAGGCCTACTACTTTCGTTTGAATTGAATAAAATGCTTGTGTACTATGTTTACAGATGTCTTTATGTCTCAGGATTTTCTATCATCACATGAGTAGATAAATGAATTAAATTAAAAAGAAGGATGTGGGCGGTTGGAGGGTGTCTCTAGTAGGTTACTCTTTGCTTTCTTTCTGTTATTTCTGTGCACGCTCATATAAATTTATGCAGTTGCGAGCGCCGTAAAACTCTAACTAAACTAAACTGTTATTTCTGTCCGTTTATCTTACTTTTTCCTGGCCCTTAATCAGTAAATGACCTCTATATTGTGTCGATGTGCTTCTCTTTAAACAAGCAAACAAGCAATAGAAGGGGAAGAAGTTGTTTCTGTCTCAACCTCAGGCGGGTGCTCTAACTTTTAACCTTATGTAGTTTGCTCCTTATTTTCTGTCAAACTTCTAACTTCCTTATCCCTCCTACTTTTCTTTGTATATTATTGTTATTCCTTGTAAAAATTGTGTTGCAAGTGCTGTAAAACTTACTAAAATTTGGTGGTTGGCGGGTGCTCTGGTGTGGTTTGCTTCTTCTTTCCTATCAAACATCTATCGTCTTTATCTCCCCTCCTTTTTTGTGTTTGTTACTCTCTCGGAACACCACTAATCTTCGACACTAATATGATCTTATTGTGTTGCAAGTGCCGCGATACTTTTACTTAAACTAAACTTAAGCACTGTAATTTGTATTTTGGTATATTCCCTTTGGTCTTGCCAGTGGCGAAGCGTCTATATAATCAAATAATCACTGCTTCCCTTCCTAATTTTGAAACATTGTCGCAGTCAAACCTAAAAAATTTTATGTAAAGAGACGTTCATAATCAATAATGAACAGTATGCCTAACATTCAAAACGATTTCACTGCCGCAGAAATAGCCTGCTCACCCCTCTCGGGCCACTCCATAAGCAGTCACAAGCTTTGATTAAGTAAGCTTAAAGTGAGGCTGGAAGAGTCTACCGATGACTTGAAGGGAACATGTGCCTAGCAGTCAAAACTGTTTCATTGCCGCGTATACCCTGTTCACCCCTTTCGGACCACAGTTATAAGCAGTCACAAGCACTGATTGTGTATGCTAACTATTACACTGGTCGAGTCTACCTCACAAATGTGAGGGGAACTAACTCTTAATAATCTCTTGACTGCTGCGAGTGCTTGTTTACTTTCCTCGACTTTTTATCGCCCTATAATGAGATCGTGACCTCGATTATGACACCAGCTCCTGGCCGCGAAAGGCTAGACAAAAACAGCTAATTGTGAATTTAAAAAATGATAATTGTCATGTTTTACCAAGAGTTAGACTCCCTGGTAGATCTATGACATATAGATCTAGTACTGATATCTTTGCTTTGTGTTTGTGTATTCACTTGAAAAGTTAAATTTAATTTTAGTTGGAATTGATATATAATGAGATACTAATTTCCGATAATTTTGGCGGTTGAACATACAATATGAATTCCGGATTTGTTTTCATTCACAACTCGGGAGTCGTCTCCTCGAGTAAGATTCTTGTGTGATATCTCCAGGCCATAAATCTGGTCCCGTTTCACTTTGATTACCCTGTTAAACAAGTCAGCCTTCGCCCCTCGGTCTTGCTATGTCGATTTTATTTGTGTGTGTGTGTGTGTGTGTGTGTGTGTGAGAGAGAGAGAGAGAGAGAGAAAGGAGAGAGAAAACATTTTAGTTTTAATGAAAGTAGAATTTAATTTCCATACATACCAAATATGAAATATCAAGAGAAAGAAGACCGTAAGATTAGGAAGCAGGTCTTTCGTAAGTAACGCAAGTAAAACCTGACAGCATCCCCTTTTCTGAACTGA